TATTTTATTTGAACATAGACACTATTTTGACTAGTTTATATTCATATTTGTCTATGTTCAATTAAAATTTTTATTGAATATAGTCCAAATGCCAACACTGAATACTACTAATTAAATAACAAATCTAAATTTAAAACACTTAGAATCTAGCCTTGAAGCATTACCTGGGTCTGAAAACTAGAAATCTATAAAATTTAAGATTTAAAACACTTAAGAACTAGCTCTGAAGCATTGTCTGGGCCTGAGAGCTAGTGGCTCTTATATTGTGTGATTTTCTATTACAGTCATATATATGTATATATATATATACATATATATATAAATAAATTGTAAATTATTAATTTTAATTATATATATATATGAATAATATATACATATATATATGCATAACATAATGGCATATGCATAATATAACAATGTATATATAATAGTAATATTTGCATAATGTAAATGTTTTGTATATGTAATCTATAAATTAATTTACTTTTATAAATTAAAATTAAAATAAATAAATAAATAAATATACATTAATTTATTTAAGTAATATAAATAAAATTTTATAATATACATCTATTAAAAAAGTTTTTTTTTATTAAAAAATCCAATTTTTTAAATTTTTTAAAAATTGGAATATTTTTTAAATTTATTTAAAATTCACCAATGATGAATTTTATCAGTAATTGTCTATGCATAATTAAATCAAATAAATTTTTATAAATCAAAAATAAACTTATTAATTATTATAGTTAAATTAATGTTTTTTTATTTATTTTTTTTTAAATATTAAGGTGAGTACTTGCAACCCAGAATTTTATTAGTAGTATATTTGGTTAATAGATGCTTTATAACTATAAGAAGCAACTATAGAAAGAGTATACAACTAGCTACTTGTACAACTTTAGTCATTGTCTAATTTAAGTAGTCTATCCAAAGGTTCTACACTAGCTGCCATATATGGAATCTGCTTGTAGGTTCTCTATTTAACTACTCTGTTTCTATATCCACCTCTCACCTTTGTCTACCAATGACTCTAGCTGATGCTAGTAAAAATATGTCATAGCCACTAAGTTTTTAAAGCAGTTTACTCATATAAGGAACCTTTAACCTTGTATTAAACCTTTCAGAATCTTTTGTATCCTATTCTTACAGCTGACCTGATATTATTATAACCAAGACCAACACTGGTGGTTAGAGCATACTATTAAACTACTATGTCCTTGTAGAGTTTATCCCAACTCCAGTACTAACTTTATAACATATTCCTATTACTTTGGTATTTAATTCAAGTTCTACCAAATTCCCAAACCAGATAGTCTAGAAAGGCAGATCATAACCATACATCTCTGGTTTACATGTTTGCCAACATGTTATCTTTTTCTCTGAAATGGATTTCAGCAGCCTGATTGGTTCCATTCGGCTCCTCTTTAAAGACTGACTCTTTGTCTAGTTTCACAAGTTCTGCTCTATTTTATAGATCTAGTCTTTATAATAGCATTGTCAAAAGTTCAGGTTATCTCTCTACTCAGGTTTTTCAAGTAGGCTTTCATTTTTTTTCTTTTGGTTACTATGATTTACATGGTCATGAGAACTTATTGTAGGTTTGCATTGCTCAGTACCAGTTTGCATTTTTTCATATAACTACAGATCTTGTCTTAAAGCACAATGTTATATGACTATTATACAAATATTATGTGACTTGCCAGTTATGCTAGTGTAACATAGGTAACAGTTGTCTTATCTCAACTAATTGTAAGAGACAGTTAACCATAACACAGCAAAAATTTTCAAATTTTTTATTGATACTGAGATTTGAACTCTGGACCTGCCACTTGAGGGTTGACAATCTGATTACTTCACTAGATTATTACACTCTAGTTAAATTAATGTTAGGTTAGGATAAAAATATTATTAAAATAAAATTTTGTAAAGAATTTTTTTTACTAAAACATTAAAGGTGGTTTTATATATAAAATTTTGAGCTATTAATTATTTTTTAAAAGCTCTTTATTTTTATTATGCAAAATTGTTTTATATGTTATACTTGATCTTTAATTCTAATTGGCTAATGAAATTTACCACTGATAAGTATTATACTTATCCATATTTTTTTATATTTTTACTAATAATTTATTATTTATTTATTATTTAAATAGATTATAATTATTAATTAAATAAAAATTAGTAAGTTTAATAAAAAATTTAAATAAAAATTATTAAAAATAATAATAAATTTATTAAATTTATTAAAATTTAAAAATTAAAAAAAGAGATAAAAATTTTATAATTAAAAACAAAAATATTAAAATTTATATTATTTATTTAATCAATATTATATATTTTTTATAAATAATACAAATAATTAATTATATTCTTTAATATTTTTTAAATAAAATAAAAAATGTCAAAAGAAAGTGAATTAACACTTGAACAATTAATGGAACTTAAAAAATTAATGAAAGATTATAAAACATCAGAAAATGAAACTAAAGAACAAAGAAAAAAAAATTAGTTATAAAAAGAAAAGCTAAAGAAAGATTTCTTAAAAAAATAAGACAATCATCTGTTATAGGACCTTTAAGCAATACAAGGTCTTAAACAAAAAAAAACTTACCAATATCAGTAAGAATAAGAAAAAATAATAGATTAAGATAACAAAGAAAAAAAATTTCTTTAATACTAATTCAAAAAGAAGAAATAAGAAAAAAAAATAGAGAAAGAAAGAAAAAAACTTATAATAAAAAAAAAAAGAAGAATTTGAACAATTTTATAAAATAGAACAATGTAGTTTAGATAATCATAAAGATAAGAATATAGATAAAAATAATTATAAGAAAAGAAGACATAGATTAGATAGAATGAACATTATATATAAATATTGTTTAGTATTAAGATAGAAAGAAGAACCAGAAGAATTATGCTGCTTAAAAGATCAAATCCAATTAGCACAACTTAATCCACTATCAGAAATTTTAGAATTACTTTTAACAAAAAAGGATTTAGATACCAATAAATCTTTTGTTGATCAAATAAGAGCATATAATCAAATATTTGCTTTTATATTAATTGGAGATGCAAGATTAGATACAAATCTTGCCAATACTAGGAAAGAAGTTTCTATTTATAAAATTTAAGGACAATATTATTATTAATATGATTATTTAATGTCTAAAATATTTGAAGATGAAGAACCAAAATCTGCTTTTATATAATAAAAAATATAATAAATCATGGATTTTATTATAACCTGATTTACAAAGTGAATTTCACTATTTTGCAATACAGTTTCTTTGTTATATTATGACTTTTATAATATAGTACAGGATGTTTTTAAATCAGCAAGTCAGAATTATGATGACCAATTGGGTTATAGTAATGAATACTTTCATTATTAAATTACAAACTTTTATTTTAGATAATAATAATATTAATTATTTTATTTTATTTTAGTATCAATATAAATATATAGATGTTTTTTTTTTATCTTTGAGATATTATTAGTCATAGCTAGAATATTTACATTCATAATTACTAAAAATTGTTTCAAAGATTAAATGAAAGTATCTTAAACAATTTTATAATTTAAATACTTTTTTTAAATTCTAGTTGTCTGTAGAATTCAAATTTCTTTTGAACATCATCAATAGTCAGTTATTTTTAAAATATATACTTAAACTGATATTTCAAAATTAATTGACTATTTGTGATGTTCAAGGTGAATTCGAATTCTATATGTTAAAACTATAAATATTTTATAGATATCAATTTTATATTTACAAAATGGTATAACTAATTTTTTTGTAATATTACTACTGAATCTTTTAAAAATTCTGTTAAAAAGTTTTAAGATCTTATTAAAAACAAAAATTAACAATATTGTCTTAATTCTAACATTGTTATTTCTATGTATTTTTAATAAATTATTATAAAATACTAATTAATGTATTCAGATATTTACAAAGACTAAAGATATATCTGGTGCATATTATTTCTTTATTCTAACCAATTGTCAAAGTTTTATACTATCTAGTTATTCTTCTTATATAAAGTTATAAAGTCATCAAATAGTAATAATATATATATTTTCTATTTTATATTATATATTATAAAAATAATACTCTTTAAGATCAAATAGGTACATAATACAATGCTTAATAATATATATATATATAATTTTTTTTTTTTTATAGTTAAACTAGCTTCTTTTGAAGCTAGGGCTTTTTATTCAGTAGTTAGGATATAGAGACTCACAGTTAAGACCTCAAAGGAGTCTCATTACATTAGAGAATACAACTAGTCATACATATATATTTGGAGTCTAATTAAGTAATCTGCTGATGATTTTATACTAGTTACCATATCTGTAGCCTAACTAGGAATGTTACCTATTTAAACCCTCTGTATTGCAATTCATACTGTATTACTAAATCATTTCTACTATATAAGTTAGTCAAGAAAGTCTAAATGTTTATCCATATTCTTAAGACCCTATATCTTATTTTATGCAATGTATCCTCAAAAGCATTATTACTAGAGCTTTTTGTATCTTGTATACTGCTAATCTAATTTTATGTAACACATTATAGTTACCTAACACTTGCAGTCAGAACTAACCTTAAACCACTACATTATACTATTTCTAACCTTGTAAAGTTTACCCAAATTCTGGTACCTATCTTTCTAACATCTTCTCCATCATCTTCTACTAACCACAACTCAGAACTGACAGGCTTCCTAGATTTCTAATCTAGATAGCTAGTATGGTATACCTTAGTATCCTTTTCTTCTGGTGATTCCAGCAGTCTGATTGGTCATGTGCTTCTCTACACATCTTGTCATCTGGTTCATCTGCCTGTTCCTAATATTTTATATATTTACACCTTTGCTTTTCGAATATAACTTATAAACTACAGGGTCTATTGTTTATAGTACTTGATGACAGGTCAGATAATTTATTTTTTGAGCCATTCGATATGTTAATGATGAAATCGAGCATACTCTCTTTAGGCTATAATTTCTTTTCCGATCTGTGTTTGTAGTTTAATGAAATAATCTGTTGTACCCAGTGATGGAACTTCAATCCCATTATAATATAAAGTCATGTTTGACATTTGAAGGTTCAGAACGTCTACCAACCGAAAGTTCATTACTTCCATCTTAAACATGTTGAGCTTGCATTTCAGAATTTGACATATATAACTGATCTATTTGGTTTAATAATATAACCAAACAGTGTGATGGTGACACTCATTTTGTTAACATAATATCCTAACTTCGACACTCATTTCGGGATGTAACATCCTAACTCACATGTCTGTAATCTGTGACACAATTCTTCAATGTGTGCCTGGTTTGTAATGCAAATATCTTGAACTACAAATCAAATTTCAAGATTAGGCATAATGTGATACAATCAAGAAAATTCAAAATCACCTACTTCTCAAAAATCAGCATAAAAAGCATCTTTAATGCCCTAATAAAAAGTTTTTGTCAAGCAATTTTACTAATATTAACCACTTCCTTCTAAATTCCAACCTTGACTCTAACCCTAACATAAACGAACTTTAAAAGAATTTGCTGTACCACAAATCTGGCACATATTGAAGAATTGCATTTGTGACAGGTTAAGCCACTGATTTCAATTACAGCTGATTTAAGTTAAAGTTGAATGTATAAAAAACAATTTGGTGCATTTGGTTATTTTTTATTTTTTTGCAATTTTATAAATTGATTTTTTTTATCTAACATGAGTAAAGTGTACAAATTAAGTCTAAATAACTCTGTCAACTTCTAATAAGACTTAAAAGAGAATCAAATTTTTTGATAAAGGTTATAAAAAAAATAATGATAAAATTTAATATGAAAGTCCTTCAAATGCCTTGCAAGTTATTTAGATATAGGGGTGTGGCAACCTAGTGAAGTGGTCAGATTGTCAACCCCCAAGTGATAGGTCCAGAGTTCAAATCCCAGTGTCGACGGAAAATTTGAAAATCCTCTATGTGTTACAGTTAACTGTCTCTCACAATTGGTTGGGATAAGATACCTGTAACTTGTGTCACACCAGTATGACTGGCAGGTCACATGGCATTTGTGTAATGGTTACAGGACATTGTCCTTTGGGACAAGGTCTGTAGTTACACAAAGGACTGCAAACCAGTACCAGGCGATGCAAACTTACAATAAGTCCTTGTGGCCATGTAAATCATAAGAACCAATAGAAGGAGATGGAAGCCTACTTGGAAGACCTGAGTAGAGAGGTAACCCGAACTTTCGACAGTGCTACTGTAAAGACTAGACTTGTAAAATGGAGCTAGAACTTGTGAAACTGGGCAAATGTGCTAGTTCTTGGGGAGAAA